TACCTCTCGATTAAGCCAGCTGGATGCTGACCCTGAAGACTTTGAGCAAGATCAACGAGAGCAAACAGAACGCTTCCTGCGCAGACGTGAGGCGGGCTGGGTTGGGCCACCGATTGAAATCAACGAAGATGACGACGACGACGCCCAGCCGACCTCTGTGAGGGCTTCCATGATACTGCAGAGACGCAAAGCTCATCTGCACTTCACTGACTTGAAACACTTCCCTCGTGCAGGACCAGAGGCATACAACATTCTTTAAACTCCTTCGAGATTACGAGCAGGCAGATCCTTATAAGCCGACGCAAGAGCTCATACTTGTGCTCGCAGAGCAGCCGTCCGTTCAGCACACCGAATCTGAAGATCCTGCAGAGGGAAGCACATCCGCGTATCAGCTTGCTCATGGTCAGCTGCCCAGTCTGAGCTCAGAAGAAGAGGCATTCGCCCTTGGTCAATCATCTTTCAACGGAAAGCAGAGAGCGCAGGAGACCCGACCACAAGTCGCCTTCTACCATCCTATTCAGACGAGAGCTGGCTTGCGCGCCAAGCGTAGACCCGTAAGTGTTGACCAGGCCGTCTCGATTCGGAAGCGTGACTGACGCTCAAAGGCGGACTGCTGTCTTATGCTCGCAGTACAAGCCGCGCCAAAATGAAGCGTTTTTCGCACAAGCATCCGTCGGACATCGCGATCTCTCAGAACGGGAACGTATTCTGCGCTTGCACGCGCGCGCCGAAGTAGATCACTTCGATACGGAACTTCCTGCCGTGCCCGAGCCTGATCTCGAGATGGAGGACGAAGATGAGGACGCTGAAGCGGATGCTGATGCTGGTGCTGATCAGGAGGGAGAGAGCGAGGGGTCCGGAGGGGAGCGCGTCGCGCCTAGCGACGATGAACGCGACGAGAAGGATGTGGACGGACCAGCTGTGGAAGCGCGATCGTCGGGGCAAGTGGACCCCTCGGACGAAGAAGCGGAACGGAAGGACAGCGAAGGATCTCGGAAGGGAGAGGGGTCCCCTTCCGAGAGTGAAGACGAAGGCGATGCGGAAGAGTCCGTAGATGGTGACGAGGAGCTGGCTGATCTGGCTGCAGAAGCTCAAGGCAAGGACGATGATGTGCCACTTGAAGGGGGGCGGTCGCGCAGGTCAAGGACTATGGTTATTGATCCGAGCTCACCTAAAGGCAATTCTCCGCCATCAGTGCCGGCCCCGGTCGTGCCGGATGAGGACGCTATGGTGGACTGATGTCAGCAAGCTTAAAGTCACGCAGACTTCGAAATTCAGTCCAATTTGTGGTCACGCGTGTGGTGATACTTGCTCATGTCACGATCCACCCGGAGCTCGAGCCGAATCTGCTGTGTCAATCAGAGCAAGGAGTCGAAGGGGATCTTCATTGGCAAGGTAGTGATAATGTGCATGGCTGTCGGCTATCGGCCTTGCTCGAGGCTTCTCTGAGATTGTGCGACTGTGCGGTGCGAGAAGTGGAGAGCGATTGATGGGCTAGAGAGC